CAACGCCTCAAGAAAAGGCTAAATCGGTGATCTTCCTTAGAAGACACCTTGATGAAAGTATTATTTATGACTATGCCAACATGAGAGATCCTAAAGAGCTATGGAAGTGTCTGAAAGATCGTTTTGATCATCAGAAAGACATAACACTTCCACTTGCTCGAGATGAATGGCAGAACCTGAGGTTCCAAGATTTCGACAAGGTGATGAATTACAATTCTGCTGTATTAGGAATTGTGGCTAAATTGAGATACTGTGGAGAAACAATTACCGAGTCTCAAATGCTTGAGAAGACATACACCACATTCCATAAGAGCCACATCACCCTGCAACAACAATATAGGTGCGGGGATATACCAAATTTTCGGATTTGATTGTGGCGCTTCTCGTAGCGGAAAAGAACAACGAGCTTCTGATCAAGAATCACATGACACGCCCAACTGGTTCCAAAGCGTTTCCCGAAGCAAATGCATTAGATGCGAAGAAACCAGTGAAAGAAAATAAGGCTTTCCGTGGCCGTGGTCGTGGTCGTCAAAACTACCGTGGACGTGGACGAAAGTACAATCCACAGGACAGAAAGTCATTCCAATGGGTCCGCTCTGAGCAACCCCCTAAGGAAAAAGAACACCAAGGGAATACTTCTCAGAAGCGAGAAGAAGCTTGTTTCAGATGCGGTACTAAGGGACATTGGTCCCGTGTCTGTCGTACCCCTCCACATTTATGTGCTTTATACAAAGATTCCGTCAAAGGAAAAGGTAAAGAGGTTAACTTTGCGGAAACTTTTGAGAGTACAACGCACCTGGATGCGTCTGACTTTGTGAATGACTTCGAGGAGACCGCTATCACAGAAGATTAAGCACCCATCATGTGACTCTTGAAATTCCACAATTATACCATAAATAATGATTTGTGGAAGATTAATGTATAATTATTGTGTGATTTTCATATGTTTATGTATAATTACTGCGTGTTTGATGTTTGCTACTGATGTATAATATTTTATGAATAAGATTATCTTATCTCTATTAATTCTTTGTTTGTCTCAGAAATGGACACTACAAACGGAGCATCAACCAAGATCAATGCTAGAGATATTTGTATATCAGATAGTGGAACAACACACACTATTCTTAAACACAAAAAATATTTTTCTGAACTTAAACCAACAAATATCACAATTAACACAATATCGGGTCCTGTAGACTTGATTGAAGGGATTGGTAAAGCCCATTTCACATTACCTAATGGGACAAATTTCTCGATAAATAATGCACTATTTTCTCCAAATTCTAAGAGGAATTTGTTGAGTTTTAATGATATATATTCTCAAGGATTTGATATTCATTCTGAAACTAAGAATGGAAAGAAATATATGTATATTACTCTTAAGAAATCGGGAAAACAAAAGGTGTTGGAAAAACTACCAAAACTCCCTACTGGTCTGCATCAAACATATATAAGTGCCATCGAATCACATTTGGTGATTAAGAGAAATTCAGATGACTTTACACTATGGCATGATCGTCTTGGTCATCCAGGCACCACAATGATGCGAAAGATCATCGAGAACGCACATGGTCATTCACTAAAACCCCAAGAAGTTTATCAGGGAAATAAAATGACATGTACTGCGTGTTCTTTAGGAAAGTTGATTATAAGACCATCACCAACCAAAATAGATAAAGAGTTACCAAAGTTCCTTGAACGAATTCAAGGCGATATTTGTGGACCTATACACCCACCTTGTGGACCATTCTATTATTTTATGGTAATGATCGACGCGTCGAGTAGATGGTCCCACGTTTGTCTATTATCCTCTCGAAATGTGGTATTTGCGAGATTTTTATCGCAGATAATCAAACTAAGAGCTCAGTTTCCTGATTATCCAATAAAAAGGGTCAGACTAGATAATGCCGGTGAATTTACTTCCCAAGCATTCAATGATTATTGCATGGTAACTGGAATTGATGTGGAACATCCTGTTGCTCATGTTCACACACAAAATGGTTTGGCTGAATCATTAATTAAACGTCTGCAACTGATTGCAAGCCCATTAATCATGAGGTCTAAACTCCCAACCTCTGTGTGGGGACATGCTATTTTGCATGCCGAAGCACTAATTCGGGTGAGACCAAGTGCATATCACAAATATTCACCAATACAGTTAGCATTTGGACGAGAACCAAATATTTCTCATCTAAGAATTTTTGGTTGTGCTGTATATGTGCCAATTGCACCTCCCCAACGCACAAAGATGGGACCTCAAAGGAGGTTAGGTATATATGTTGGTTGTGACTCGCCATCAATTATACGTTACCTAGAACCACAAACTGGTGATGTATTTACGGCACGTTTCGCTGATTCCAACTTTGATGAAAAAGTATTTCCGGTTCTAGGGGGAGAAAATAAACAAGTAGAAAAAGAGATAAAATGGTGTGTGCCATCTCTACTACACCTTGATCCTCCAACAAAACAATCGGAATTAGAAGTCCGTCAAATTATGCATTTGCAAAGCATTGCAAATCAACTACCTGATGCATTTGCAGACACCAAAACGGTAACAAAATCACATATACCTGCTGCAAATGCTCCTTCTCGTATTGAAATGCCACATGAACGTGGAGCAGATGATAATACACGAGAGTCAAAAATACGTTTAAAACGTGGTAGACCTCTTGGTTCTAAGGATAAAAAATCCTAGAAAACAAAAGGAGATAGAAAAGCAAAATCCATCCAATACAACAGAAAGGCCGGAAGAAATGAACCATGAGGTTGATAACAGTATTGAACATCATGATTCTGAAGAAAATCATGAGATCTCGATTAACTACATTCACAATAGAAAAATATGGAATCGAAATAATGTGAATGGTGTCGATGATATTTTCTCGTACTTTGTTTCAAAAGAAATAAATGAAGAAAGTGATGACCCTGAACCAAAATCTATCTCAGAATGTCAAAAGAGACACGACTGGATGAAATGGAAGGATGCAATACAAGTTGAGCTTGATTCTCTTAACA